CCACTGGTGCCACCTGGAAATGTCCCAAGATAAGAGGGTAGCTTTACGTTGGCCTGCGGACTCAGGGTCCCAGGTTCGATTCCGGTCAAGGGCATGTACCTGGGTTGCGGGCACATCCTCAGTAGGAGATGTGCAAGAGGCAGCTGATCGATGTTTCTCTCTCATCGATGTTTCTAACTCTCTATTTCTCTCCCTTCCTCTCTGTAAAAAATCAATAAAATATATTTTTTTTTTTAAAAAAGAGGGTAGCTTTATTCTTCTCCTCTCAAGGGGGCTTCTCCCCTAACCCCTACATTCCTCGTGTGCAGGTGAAAGTCACCAGTGAGAGAGTTGGGACATTTTGCAAAATAGAATGTGATCACTACATAATTTGATATGAATATTTGAAAAACTTTTCCTATGAAAAATGGATACTTTAAACACACCTGCAACCACACACACACACATATACATTGTTTTTATGAGAACCAATTAATAAATGCTAATTCATTCAGGCATATCTACACTGAATTACTGTTTCATTTAATTGCAGGGGAATTTTCCATTACTAAACTCTCCCTTGCTGATTTTTTTTGGCATTATTTATATATTTTTTCAGTTTCACTAATAGTGAGGTTGGTATGTGATATTATCTGCTGTTTGTATGTCTTAAAGTTCTTTTTCATCTAAAATGTTTCCTCATTCTTGTAGCTCCACGTAATCCAGGAGAAACGCCATTAAACGCAGACAAGACTTTACGCATAAATGATTGAAAAAGGCACGGACTGCAATTAGCCTGCTGGGAGGGCACCTTGTCTGATTGTACTGCTCTCCGTCCAGGCGTGCGCTCTGGGCTAATGTGGAAATACCCTCCTATGTCAGCGAGTCACAAGTCTATCCATGAAAAGATTGTGGGTACACAACTAGGAAAGAGGACCGCAGGGGCTCTAATAATAAAATAAACACGAAAATCTGTTTATAAGCCCCCCTCCCCCAGCTCTCGGCGCACAGCTCGGGCTCCCTTTTCAGGGACACAAATCAGGATTCTGACATCTAGACACCAGAGATACAGACCAGCTGGCTCCCAAAGACCCTGCCTCTTTTTATGCCCAGAAGGTGGGGGGTTCCGGTGGTGGTTGGGGGTTACTTAGGGGCGGCAGTAGGAATCCTATTCAGAAGGATGTGCTCTGAGGTAGCATTTCGATTTTCTTATATAGGAATGGCCAAGGTTCCCCGCACCTGGCTACCTTCGCTTCTCAAATAAGTTCTTTTCATTTTTATTATCCAGCCACCTTCTCCCGAGCCCCCTCCCCCTGCCTCCTTTCCGTGTCTTTCTTTCTTTTTCTAATTCTTTCCCTTTCACAGTAATGTATTCTGGAGGAGGATGTGAATGATTAAGCTGTTTGCTCTGAGGTTTGGATATGAAAAGGCATGTCACACCGTAAGTAAAGTTTCACCTTTATACTCAACTCTATCAATAATTACAGAACAAGGAGGACTATTGGTAATATTTTTTTTTTTTACAATTAGCTCTTACAAAAATAATGCCATTTATTCAAGGCATCCTGAGTTCTGTTCATTTTACTCTTTATAAAAATTAGTTACAAAACAGAGTAACTGCCACCATGAAGTCAGCATATAAAGGGATTGTGAGCACCGCATATCCACGGGAAACATAACCCCGTAAACACGCACCCATTAAAACTGGCGGTCGGAGACCCTAAATACAAAGTTCTGACACACTATTATATTAGTTAATGCTCTCCTTTGAACAGAAACATCTCTTCATAATTAAAATTCCGTGAGATTGATTTCTGCACTGTGTTCCTTTACTTCCTTTGTGCTCTTCAGCAAAATCGGGCAGAGTCCTTTTGGGTATAGACTGATAAAATTAATTAACTTTCCTTCCACTCCAAAAAAAAAGTCCTAAATAAATGCTTCCAATAGACATCAAAAAGTGTCAATTAGAAATAATTACTTCTTATCCATCAGTGGGGCAATTAAAGTGACAAAGCTTGAAAAGATACTTATCTTGAAACTAATTCACAAGGTCGCTAAATTATCTCCTAATTAACTTGCATTGAGGAGGGTGGGAGCATGGACCGTCTTGAAACAAAGATGAATTGGGGAACCCCAATACCTCTTTATGCTCTTCCCAGAGAGTGTCCATTCCCGGAAGACCTTATTTTCATCCCAGGCTAGAAACCCGGGAAGAAACCAGATCCTCCCCAAATGCATTTGGCCCCTCTCCTCCTTTCTACAACCCCAGTTTCCCATCTCAGATCTGGGGTTTAGAGGCATGCTCCTCCACCATCTGAAGTCTCATTTTATCGCGTGAATATCCCATTTTCAGGAGCCTGGGCCACAAGGTTGCGGGAGTTGTTCCACATAACTTTTAATGACCGCCTGCTTGCTAACCTCTCTTCTTCAAAGTCACAGTATTGTTTACCTTTTGATATTTATGTGGCATTTATCGTTTCCCGTGCGTCTTGAATATTTAAAAAATATTTTTGCTTGAGAGGCTCTTTGGTTCCCCGATGCTACAAAATCCCCACCGGGTTTTAGGGAAGGTTCAGCCCATTGCTAACCAGTGCGCACCAGGATAATTCGCTATCGCTCTCCACATGCCTTCAGAATAAAGCTGTAGAAAACATGTACATATATATATTAAGACAAGGTAAGATCAGCCCAGAGGAAGCCCAGGGTGGGCTGGTGGCCCAGCGCAGAGGCGCGCAGGACACTCGGGAACCAGCGCGCGCGCCCGGGGTCGCTGGAAAGGTGAGCCCGCCTGGCTCCCGGCTCCGGCTCCCTGGCGGCCTGGCGGCCTGAGCTCCGTCTTCCCCTGAGGAAACTTAGCTGGGAGTTTCCAGGTGAAGCCCCTCAGAAATGGACGTGCAGGGAGAAAGAAGCTGCTAGCACCGAAGCGAGAAATGGGCTTACAAAACCAGGAAGGTCAGAGTATGAACTGAGCTCCACAGACGGGGCAACAGCATGGAGTAAACTGATCGGAAAGACGGGATCCTCGACGCTAAACCGACTGAGGATTTAGAAGAGAAGCAGGGGTAGCCCGGACCCTCCGAGCCGCATTTCAGGCAGTTCTCTTCTACTTTGTTACCATTGCATGAAACTAACGGGGAAAGTCTCGTTCTCCCTTCCGCTCAGCTTTCTTTGTTTTTGGTGTGTGTGTGGGGGGGGGGGGGGAGAAGCCCCTCTCGCCCCCACTAGACGGAAACGCCTGACCCTCCCCCGCCGGTGCTCCGCTCCCTCCCCAGACCAAGGGCGAGTTGCTTCTAAGCTCTCGGGAATCCGCGCAGCATCTGGGCTCCTTGATGATTTACAATGAAAACAAATTGTGTCCTTTTTTCTTTCTTTTACTCCCATTTACTCTAATGAGTGCTTCTAGAATGGAAATAAGTAGCGAAAACAAACTCAAGCCAGCCCGGGGAATTGCGACGTTGTCTTATTTCCCAAAGGGTCTGGTCCGGCGCAGTACATTCGGGGTCCGAGAGCACCCAGTCCTCCCGCCGCCAGAAAGGTCGGGACCGAGTAGGGTGGGTTGGGCGCGGTTGGAGCCCGACCCGGAGCGGAGCGGAAGCGGCCGGACCAGCCTGGCGCAAGAACCCGCACCCTGCGCGCTGGGCCTGGGAGACGGTCCTGCTCCCGCGGGGCGACGCCCCGTATTGTACCCGGTTTGGCTAGAGACTAAGGGGCCAAACATCTCCCTGGCCTCCGAAAGTGGTCCAGGAGCGCGCGTGGCGCCCGGGCGCCGCCGGGCAAGCGGTGCTGGGTAGACCCACTCGCACCCGGGCTCCCGGAAGGGTCGCGAGGTTTCGGACCTGCGCCCCAGGACTGACGGCAGTGTGGGGGGTGGGGTACTGCTGACTCGGTCTCGCCAGGCAGCCAACCAGAATAAGAAACCTTCCGCCCCCACCCCCGGGTCTCCCCTCGCCCCACACCGCGGAGCCAGGGCCCGCGGATCCGAGGCTGCGCGCGGAGCTGGACCGCCGCGTTCTGGCTAAATAGAGATCTCAGCCGCGCGCCGCGCCGATCCGACCTCCTTATTATAACAAATGTCCCGTTTGCCGAGCGGACTTCATATTCGCCGAGAATTCATCTGAAATATTGATTTCCTCTCACTTCGCCGGCCCCAATCGATAGCGCTGCGCCCTGGCCCCATAAATCGCCTTCCCGGGGGGCCAACCCGGCTCCATCCATCACCGCGGCCGGACCAGGCCGCTGCCCACACTTGCTGCGCGCCCGGCGGCCGTGCCCAGCGCGCCCAGCGCGCCCACCAGCCCGATTGTAGGGCACCTTCCCAACAGAGACCCTCACCCGCCACTCCGCCCCGGCCTCGCTGGGCCCAGGAGAAGGGGAGAGCAGGTGCCGAAGCTAGGGACCCCGAGCGCGTTTGAAGGCCCTAGGCCCCGGCGCTGGTGGGGAAGAGGTTCCGCACCGCGGGAGCTCAGTCCTAGAAGCCCAGACGCCCCGCGCGCCCGCTGCTCCCCGCCTGCTCCGTGCTCGGGCAGGAGGAGTCCGAACCCCGAGCTCACTCAGGGCTCCCAGGCCCCGAAACACGGGCTCCTTTCCCGCGGGCTGGAGAGGTGCGCGGGCTCACAGTCGCGCCTGGGGATCCCGGAGAGCTGCGCGCATCCGGACAAGCGCTTGGTGGTCGGGGCAAGGGACCTGCAAGTCCAGCAGCGCGCGGCCCACCCTCACCCGCCATGCCAGCCGGGGTGGGTGCGAGGGACACCTCTCTGGCCCCGCGGAGAGCTCTTACCCCTCCGTGTGGTCCGCAGAAGCCAAGGCCTGCGTTGGCAGCCCCGCTGGGCGAGGGTACCTCAGAGCCCTAGAGAGCGGCGAGGCGGCCTCAGCGGAGCGCCAGGCCCCAAGGCACCCCTGCCGCGTCCTCGCGAAGCGGGGTCCCGCGACCCCGGCGCGCACGCCCCCCAACCCCGCTGCCCCGAGCGCACGCAGGGACGCACGGCGACCCGGGGCTGGGGTCCGGCCACGCGCGTCCTTACCGGATCTGATGGAGTTGTGAGGCATCCTGAGGATCACTCGTGGCCCGCGCGAGGCTCAGGGAGTCCTCACGCAGGTCCCTGCCGCATCCGCCGCGCCGCTGCCCTGCAGGCCCAGGGGAAAGGGCATGAGAGCGTGTCTGCTGCCTTAGCCCTGCGCCCAGGCCCTGTCCCCCTGGCTTTCGCTTCGTGGCAGGAGTCGGAGGGGTTTAGGCGAAGTGTGGCCAACCTCAGCCTGGCCTAGCAAGCACGTGTGGGTCGGGAGGTCCGGGATTGGGGGTCTGCCAACTAAGTCCCAACTCCAGCCCGGGTGCCCTCTCCTCTGCCGTCCCAACCTCATCCAGTTTAACCTGGGAGGAAAAAGGCTTTTTGGGACCGTCTCCCTTCTTCAATCATCCTTCTCCCCCAGGAAGCTTTCGGCCGGGCTGTGCAGCTTACCTGGCCTGCGGCCTCCGGCCCTCAGTGCCCGGGTCCGCTGCGAGGGTGCCCTGGGCCCGCGTCTCTCCTTGGTCCCAAGTTTGTTCCCATCCACCAGGCATCGCTACCGGTTTTATCCCGCCAGGGCCCTGACACAAGGGTCTGGGGAGGCTCGCAGCCCGCGGATTGGCTGGCTGGGTGCAGGGGGGTGCGGGAAGGGGAGGATTTTGCAAGGGGGACATGGCTGAGTGGACTCAGGACTTAGAAACATTCTCTGGAGCTTCTGTTTCCAGCGGTGAGGAGAGGGAGGCAGCTGAGCCCTAACTCAGCAGGCCTGGGAACATCCAAGGAGTGCGATGGAGACCTCAGGCCTGGGGATGAGGGTCTCTGGGTCCTCCCAGGTCACTGGCCACCAGAAGTGAGAGTCACAGCTGCTGGGCAATGCCCTCTCGCTCCTGGTCTGCTCGTGGACAAGCAGCCTTTCCTCTGCAGGAGGAACTGTTGTTTTTATGCCGGCTTCTTTAGGTAGAAGCTGCGCACCTTCTCACCGCTGGTGCGGCCTCTTCCAGGACAGAACCCTGAATACCCCTGAGCCCACTCCCTCCTCGCCACCAGACAGGGTCCACACTACTAGGTTAATGACAATGGTCCCAAAACCCATTTCACAGGCCCCTCCTCCCCCAATACACACACACACACACACACACACACACACACACGCACACACACACGCACATGCACATGCACACACACACACACACACACACAGCGCCAGCCCTCTTTCTTGCTCCTGGAGGCTTCTGAACTTGGGAGAAGAGTCCACAGGCCTGTTGGTGAGAGCCTAGATCTCACCTCACTGTGGGAGGGTGTTAGAAAGGGACAGGACAGAGGTCAGCAGCCTTGGGGAGTGAGGGCCTGCATGTGGATAAGGTCCCGTGTGGGACTGAGGAGCCTTAGTGTGGCAAAAATGGGGTACAGGCAACACTGTGGGGGTGGGGCAAGGCCTGGATGCCCCTTCAATCTCAGGCCAGGCTCTGGGGCTCAGGGTTACAGCCCAGAGGACAGCGTGCCCCCTCATCCCCAGGGGCTGTGCTGCCTGGGGAGGCGCTGGAACAGAGGGTGGAGCTGCTGGGTGAGCAAGAAGCAAGGGGCAGAGGAGACAGCGTATTCAGGGGTGTATGTGTGTGAGGGAGAGAGAGAATTCACAATATTTTTCTTAATTAAAAATAAAGTTCTGTCTTTCAGGCTAACCCACTTCCTCCTCCCTTCTCGGTTCTCAATTTATCAAAAATTAATCATTTTGTGAAAGGAAAAAGAATATGTACGACCCTAAACGGAGCCTCTGCATTTCTTAAGGTCTCTCAACAAAAGCAGTAGGTGCTTTATTGTTTTAAAAGTTCCTCTAACATTATCGTTTACAGTTGCTCTGTGGTTTCCAGATGTCTGGACGCTCCACTTCTCTGCTCAGAGCCCGGAGAGATGGAGAGACGCTGGAAGGGTGTTGAGATGGCAGTGGGCCTCAGCATAGGTCCCACCACCACTGGCAACTGGCCCCCACCCCAGCTTCTAGGGGAGCCTGAAAGCCCCCAAGAGGCTCCCCTCCCACCCTTGAGGCTGTGCTCCAGGGTGAGCCTGACAAGCCCTCATCCCGACAGCTGTGCAGACCTCAGAGGGGCCACCCAACTGCAGGGCTGAGAAGTACCAGCGACCAGGGAACCCAGGCACCCGCCTATGCTGTTCTCTGGCTCAACAAAATAAGCCCCACCCCGCACCCGCCATTTCTGACAAAAGTTATCCAAGGACAAAAACCACTGGTAAGTCATCAAAACATCCCTGTCTCACTTGTGAGCTCATCTTCTAAAAGTATTTTTATTATGAAGACTTAGTGTGCAAAACCTACCTCCATACACCTTGAGAGCACCCTGCCCCAGATGGCAGGGGACAGGAGGCCACCCTGCAGAGAAGCTCTAGAGCACTGAGCCTGCCTCCTGCTCTGGCCCTGCTTTCTGGTACCCGTGGGAAGCAGCCGGGGTCTTTGCCGTGTCCTGCTTCTCTTCAGCCAAGGCCAAGAAAATGGTGTAATAGCATCCCGACCCCTTGGGGCTCTTTCTCTGCAAAATGAAGAGGTTGAAATACATAGATATTTTTAAAATGCCTTTTGTCACAGTTTTTTCTCAGGCTTTTAAAAATCCACGATTCTCTTAGTTAAGAATGAAAATCCCAAACTTTCCTTCGATGTTACTTCAGATTTCTAACTAAATTTAGCATCATGACTGACAGACTCTCGGGTCAATGGGAAATTGAGAAAAATGCTTTTCAGAACCAACACCTTCTTCTCCAGCGCGTCTTCTCAGAGTCGATGCCCGCGGCAACCTGTGGTTTAAGCCTCCTTACAATTTTTTTTAACCCAGTGTTTTTCCCAAGAAAGCTGATTTAGTTGCGAATACAAAGATAAATAGAGGAGAGAAAGTAACTCTGGTTTGTCTTTACCGTTTTGACACATCTGGCCACAGATCTGAGTGTTTCATTGTGGAAATGAAGATTCTTAAAGAGTTTACTACCCACCCCAGGCAGCGGCCTGTGTCCAGTGAGTATTCTGTGCTTTTTAAAGTTTAGGTTGATCTGCTGAGCCTTCCAAAGATGGTCTCTTTTCCGCGGGACCCAGCTGAAACCCACTGAGCCTGGGGCAGGGCTTGGCAGGGCTCTGGATGTGGGATTGGGTGCTAAACCCACTGTCCCAGGCAAACCAGGATGAGGTGGCCATCTAGCTGATGGAGCGGGGAAGCGGGTGGTTTGGGGGCCAGTTAATTGTGCAGCTGGAATCCTACCTCCTGGCTCAGGCTGCCTGGCCCTGGAACTCCCTGTGGTCCATGGGCCTCTCCCTCTGCCCCAGGTGCCCCGGGAGAGGCCAGCCTTGGGGGAAGGTTTTTGCCCCCCAAGAATCCTCCTTGGTTACCTGCCCTCCGCTATGTGATAAACACCTGCTGAGACTAATGTACACCTTTTGGGAAGGAAACAGCTGCTCCTGTTTGGAGTTAGGAGGTGAGCAGCTCTGCCCTGGCTCCCTGGGATGGGCCCTTTCCTTTCTCTGAGCCTCGGTTTCCTCTTCTTTGGGGTGTGGGTGCAGGTGGGGAGTGGGGCGGGAGGCCCTGTCCTGGCTTTGTTGTGAGGTGAATAGAGTTATGGATGTGAATGCCCTTTGAAAGCCGCAGCTCTGCACAGAGTTAATTATTATTAGACAACAAAGGCAGGGCAGCACTTCCAGAGGGCAGAGGGAAAAGTGCTCTCAGATTTTGCTGTAGAAGTCGGTTCCTTTAATCCTTTCCCCAAAGCACTGTGAGTTACAAACAGCCACCTGAGCCCCGAGGTGATGGACAGGTGATTTCCTGTTGGCAGGAAAGGGCCAGGGAGTGCGCTGTGGGTGGAGGGTGGCTGTGGGCAGCATGGGGGCTGGGGTGTCCCTCAGGGGACCCGGAAAGCGGAAGCACAGCCAGAGGCAGAGGGGGCCGGGGGGCAGTGCTCAGGGTCTCAGGGTCCCTTTTCCCCTTAGACCTGCCCAGGGGTGCCACAGCCACACAGCATGGCTCCCCTGTCCCCACACCTCGGGAAATGGCCAGGGCAGGCCCTGAGGCCTCCCGGTGGTTGTGCCAGACAATCAATCATTAATTGTCTTGTGCTCCTCCCCTCTTCCCCTCAGGCTTTCAAAACCCAGAAATAGAAATACAGGTCCTGGCAGGAGAAAGGAAAGGGCCACCGGCTGTGGAAAGCACTTTGGAAAAAGCCACTGGTGGCAGAGGTCCAGTCGCTTCAGGTGGGAAAGGTGTTCTGGGCACATCTCTCCGGGGCTCCTTGCCCACGGCCGCCCCTGGGTGGCTGCCGCCTGGGCTGCTGGGGGAGAGTGCTGTCTCCGGGCTTGTGTAGGAGCCTCCCTGGGGCCCAGAGAGGAAGGGGCCAGTGTAGAGAGGGGATAACACGGGTCAGTTTTTTCTAGTAATAATAGTTTTTTAAAAAGTTAAAAATACCCAGCCTGGTGCCTTAGTTGGTTGGAGCGTTGTTCCATACACCAACATGGTTGCATGTTCAGTTTCTGGTCAGGGAACAAAACGAAGTTGTGGGTTCGATCCCCAGTCCGGGTATGCAGAGGAGGCAATCCACTTTATGTTTCTCTCTCTCTTCCTCTCTCTCCCTAAAAATCAATAAACATATCCTTAGGTGAGGATCTTTAAACATGATAAACAATGAGCGAGGCCCTTTTGCGACCTATTTTGCAGATGAGAAGACAGAGCCGCAGGAAAGTAAGCACCACATCCCAGATTCTTAGCCGGTGGGTGGATGACAGGAGGTCCCAGGCTGCACTGGTGGCCCAGGCCTTCCCTTAAGTGTTGGGAATTCTGCTCTCCCAGCCTAATCCGCCACCCCCCCCCCCTCCTCCAGCACCCACACTCCTCCCTTCAGGAGGAAGGTTCTGGAACCCAGGGAGTGGCCGGGGTGAGGTGAGGTCTGAGCCAGTGGCTAGAAAACTTTCCTGTGCCAGGAGAGGGTGCAGCTCACGCTGCAGGAATGCCCTCCCCTCAGCCAGGCCCCTGCCTCCCGCCAGAGCAGCCCCAGTCGAGTCAGGCCACAGGAATCCTCCCAGGCCAAGCTGGGCACCTGAGTGGGGGCCTTCCTGGCACTGTTGGTGGGGAGGTGCCATGGAAAAAACCCAGGCGCGGGCCTTCATCAGACTCATGGCTGGCTTTGTTCTCCGTGGCCTTGGAATGCCAGAGGCTCCTGCTCTTGGCACAAACCACAGAATAGAGCCTGTCCTCCCCTGGCCCTCAGCAGTGCCCAGGGGCCTGAGGAAAGGACCAGGCCTCTGGTGCCTGGGAGGTGGGGCGGGCTCCTGCCCCGGAAGGAAGGAAGGAAGGAAGGAAGGAAGGGAGGGAGGGAGGGAGGGAGGGAGAAGGCGCACATGGGAGCACAGCGGGCCTGGGCCTGGGCTCTCCTCCCAGTCAGGCGGCTTCCATTCTGCTGCGGACCCAGGGCCCTACCTCCCAGCAGCCCTGAGGAGTTAGGGCTTTGTGCCCTCGTTGGTCTCCAGTGCCCAGCAAGAGGGCCATCCTTGGT